AAAGCACAACAAGCGTTGGGGTGCAAGTAAATTTCGCGGATGTAAAGGCGGAAATGGAAGAACGAGAGTCTAAAGAGAGCAAAGAAATAATAGACATCTTAGATAAGAGCCAAAACTTTGAACAATTTGCGAAATTGCTAGACAGGAAATGGCCAGAACGAGCTTACAGGGCCGTCAAACATATTCATGGAGCTCCACCAGACATACCCGTAGAAGATGTCACAGCAATAATCGCGGACGCCAAACCGGCGAATATGAAAGGACTACTAAAGGAAATAAGCGGAAGGCACCCGGAAATAAGCGAGATCATGAAAGGCGGTGTAACAGAAGGCCAGTTAGAGTACTTCGAGAAGACCACAAAGATAAACTTCAGGAACAAAGACGAAGAGAAAAGCCAACTTGTTTACATCCTACCTATCGATATAGACAAAAATGGAGTAAACAACATGAAGGAGGTACATAAACTCGTAGAAGATAGCAAGAGAACGGTGCAGACTCATGGTCGGAAAAAGATCACCTTTATACCGGATGATGGGATAAACAAATCATACGTGAGGAAGATCCTAGAGTACGTGTTTAACAAAGCGGACATCGAGGTAAAGCTGATGACAGCCAGAGGAAAAGACCGAGAGCACAGCAGACCCTGGCCAAGTAAAACACAAGCCCAATCTCAAGCGGTGATCGTTAAGAAAGGGGGCCGGCAGTACGCCGATCTCCTAAAGACAGTGAAGCAGAATATCGATTTAGGGAAAATCGGTGTCAAAGTCAGGAACATAAGAGAGACCGCAAGAGGAGACCTACTGCTGAACGTGGAAGGGGGTGGTGAGAAGGCAGACTCCCTTAAAAAAGAAATTGCCGCCCAGCTCAAGGATGTAGGTGTATCGCTAGCCAATAACGATGCCACTGTACACATCAGCGATATAGACCCTACAGTCACCGAGGAGGAGATCGAGGAAGCAATTTACGAGGCAACCCAAGTAGACAGAGCAGCACCAGTGAAGGTGTTGAATATGAGGCCCACCAGAGATGGAAATAGAATTGCAACTGTCAGGTTATCAAAGCATCTGGCGAAAGTCCTAAGCAACAGAGGCAAGCTGATGATAGGCTGGGTGGCATGCAGAGTCCGTGAGAGAATAGCTGTAACCAGATGTTACAGATGCTTGGAATTCGGACACACACAAAATGGATGCACAGGCAGGGATAGATCGGGAGAATGTCTGAGCTGCGGAAAAATGGGCCATAAAGCGAAAGACTGCCAAACGGACCCTTTTTGTTCTTCCTGTCAAGAAGCCGGTCACCGCTCCGACTCAACCAGATGTCCTAAGTATAGGAGGATGGTGGAGGATAAAGCAAAGAGGAGAGGCAGCTTCCGCAAGTAAAGTAAAGTAAAGAAAAAAAAATGCCACGGACTGTCGAAGGTAATGCTACAAACAGGTTTAAACGAAATCCACGGAAAAGCCTGAGAATACTGCAAACGAACTTAGGCAGAGAAACAGCAGCCCACAATATAGCCTTTGCCACGGTAGCCGAGTATAACATAGACCTACTGATAGTGGGGGAACCCAATAAGACCATCATAAAAGCTCAAAAATGGATCAGCGACAAAAGAGGGGACGTAGCAGTGTACTTTAGAAATAGGGAAGTCACGGTTAAAGATATAAAGTACTACGACGGTTTTTTGGGCCTACACCTCGAGTTTTGCACCTTATACTGTTGCTACATATCTCCAAACATTCCGATAAATGAGTTTCAGGATCTGGTTGACAAGATAATATCTGAAATTGTCACATCAAGAAGGGAATGCGTGCTCTTGGGAGACATAAACGCAAAGAGCGTCGAGTGGGGGTCCCCATTCACAGATAGTAGAGGAACGTACTTTTCTGAATGCCTTGCTGCTGCAAACATGGTTGTGCATAACACCGGAGATAACCCCACTTTTGTTAGAGGTAGCACAGAATCCTATATAGATGTCACATGTTCGACACAGAAGATCGCAGCAAACATGAAGAAATGGAGCGTCCTCGATGAGGATAGCATGACGGACCACAAGTATATATACTTTGAGGTAGATAAGCAGCTAAGCAGTAAAAGAGCTCAATCCTGGGGCTCGACCAAGACTTGTAACTGGGAAGTCTTTAGACAGGTACTCTCGTCCAAGCTAGTAGAATACCCAGAAAAGCCGCATACAGAGGAAAACTTTACTGCCACCATTAAAGAAGCTTACCATGCTAGCCTCACAACCAATAGCAATCATAGCGGAATGCCCTACTGGTGGAGCAACGATATCTCTCAACAGAGACAGAAGTGTCACAAGGCACGTAGAACCATCATGAGGCTCGTCAAACACAGGCACAGACATCCGGAAGCGATCATCGAAGAAGCTAGCTCCTTGTATAAAAGCCACAAAAAAATGCTTCAGCAAATGATCAAAGAGTCCAAGAAAAAACACTGGAACGAACTTTGTGACAGCATTAACGAGGACGTATGGGGAGACGGATATCGGATTGTCATGAAAAAATTCCGATGTTTCGCGCCCTATAGCATGACAAAAGAACGAAAGAAGGAGATAGCAGAAGAACTGTTCCCACCACACGCAGTTAGGAGCTACAGCACAGAAACGGTCAACAACGTAGACATGTTCACGGAAGAGGAATTCGAACAAGCCATAGAAAAACTCAAAATGGGTAGAGCCCCTGGTCTTGATGGTATACCCCCAGAAGCAATTAAAGAGGCTTCGAAACTGTCACCAACCTGGGTATTGGGTTTTTTAAACAACCTTCTCACCACACAGAGCTTTCCGGAATCTTGGAAACGGGCCAAACTCTTACTGATACCGAAAGGAAAAGACAAATACAGACCCATTTGCTTGCTCTTGACAATTAGCAAGCTATATGAGTTATTGATACTTGCTAGGCTACAGAAGGAAATCGATTACAAGGGTGGCCTATCAGAGTTCCAGTATGGTTTCAGAAAAGGTAGAAATACGTTGATGGCAGTGGACGCAGTCCTTAAAACCATTAAGGGCAGCAGGGAAACATGGGGCGTTCTCATCACAGTCGACGTCAAAAACGCTTTCAACTCGCTACCGTGGCAAAACATAATGGAGGAGCTGAGAACAAGGAAAATACCACCATACCTCCGAAATCTCGTAGGTGCCTACCTCAGTGGAAGGTCACTCCAGATAGCCAAAGAAGAGACCTTAGACATAACATCCGGGGTACCGCAGGGCTCAGTCTTGGGCCCTACTTTATGGAATTTGGTTTACGATGGGGTACTGAGGAGTAAATGGCCACATGGTGTAAAAGCCGCTGCGTTCGCGGACGACTTGGCAGTGATAGTGCTAGCGCAGGATGAGGAGGCCCTTATGCATGCGGCAAATTTAGCCCTGAGGATAGTGGACAACTGGATGACGGCCCATCACCTCGAACTCGCACCGGAGAAGACAGAAGCTGTCATCATAAAGGGGAAGCGGAGAAAAGCAGGTATTACTTTTAACTGCAGAGGAACTTCCGTAACACCAAAGAAGTCTGTTAAGTACCTAGGAATTCACTTAGAAGAAGGAGGCCACTTTCGGGAGCATATTCGGGCAACGGCAGCAAAAGCAGACAAAAAAGCAGCATCGTTAGCAAGAATTATGCCAAACATCGGCGGACCTACCAGCAACAAGAGGGAGGTTATAAATAGCGTGGTGCTTTCAACATTACTTTACGGCGCCCCAATCTGGCACGATATTATGAGCACTACTAGATACAGGCAAATGTTCAACGGAGTGCAAAGGAAGATGCTGCTGAGGGTGGCGAGTGCTTACAAGACGGTCTCCACGAAGGCCTTACAGATTATTACAGGGATAGCACCGATCCACTTGCTTGTGGAAGAAAGAGTGAGACTGCACCGCCGGGAAGATGGGAGAACCGCGAGGGCCAGAAGGGAGGAGCGCGAGGTCACCATCAGTAAATGGCAGGACGAGTGGCACTTAACGGAGGACGTGGCTCAGTGGACAAAAAAAATAATACCTGACATCGGGAAGTGGATTGCTTGCAAGCACAGGCGACTGGACTACCACCTAACGCAGGCACTAACGCAGCATGGTACTTTTCGAGTATTCACGAAGAGAATACAGAAATCAGACAGCGATGAATGCATGTACTGTCAAGAAAAAGACACAGTTGCACACACTCTCTTCGAGTGCAACAGATGGGAGCGACAAAGGGCACAAGTCGTTGTTAGTCTAGGACACGCTCTGACGGAGAGTAATCTGACCAGCACCATGATGGCGAACAAACAATCGTGGATACAAATACAAAGATTCGTCAGGGAAATACTATCAATTAAAGACAAGGATGAAAGAAGAACGGACAGCCCAAACTCCTAGGACATATACATGGAAATTTTACTGCAGATACCGCTGAGGAAACGAAGACATGTGTGAGACACAGTCATGCTGGTAGTAAGCGCAGGCGAATCCCAGCATGAGGGTGGGGGAGGGGGTTTTAGCCCAGGTGGCATAACCTGAATGCGGATACTAGATATCCGGTCTCAGGTATCTCTTGGTGATTTCCCCCCAAGAAAAAAAAAAAAAAAAGTAGTAGTAGTAGTAGTAGTAATAGTAGTATTTCTGGTAATACTTAGTGATAGAGAGGCTAGTAGTAGATCATTACAGGTATGAGGCAGGCTGTGGCCCCACAATGGTCTCCAAACCTATATTTATTATTATACGTCTTTTTTAGTTAAATTTGGTATTCACTATTTTTATTTTACTATCGACATCTGGATAAAACACCTTTATTGAGAAAATATATTTACAAGCAAAATGGGTTACCATAATTCTTATTTTTACGTATTTCAAAGGTCTGTTGTCTATGATCATTTAACTTTTAAAATCGTAGCGCAAGTGTTTTTCTTAGTTTGTTTCAGCTTTTAGGTGATAATAAGAACGTTTCGTTTTCAGGAATGGTGATGACAATGATAAATAATGATGATAATGATATATTATAATTTTAATTTTAGCTTACATTTAGTATTTACTATTTCTATTAGGTACATATTTTACTAACATGTCTATTTTTAGCTAAAATGTGATCATACATTCCGTATTTTTACGTATTTTACAAAACTGCTGTTCAAAAACTTCCAGGCTTTCTTTCAGAATCATAGCTCAAATATTTTCATCAAGCTTTGGAGGGGGACACCCCCAACTTAGGAATTGCATACGCTGTAGACACTCCTGAGCGTGATAAACGTGAGATAATGAATACTGATGATAATGATTTGTACAGGGAACTGTTCCAAACACTGTTCTGCCTGGATAGCTAGATGAATGTTTTATTGGGCATACACGAGCCGGGTGGATGTTGAATAGGAACAATAGGATCATGTTAACAATGTTTAAAGACCCGATTTATAGTATGCTGCAATACATGAAAACAACAGTCAAACGAACATCAAAATTTTCAAAGGGTAAGCATCGGTGAGTATGGCATCAAGAAGGTTGGTTTTGAACTTCATGAACCACCGAAGAATAGATAGAACTGTTAAAGCATTCCACTCAAACTATACTTAAATAAATAAATACAGAGCCAACCTACTTGATGTTTCAAAATAGCAGAGGTGTTATTTAAATGGGAATACTTATGTGAACTCTCTTTGTAGATAAATCTGTGGATAATAGTAGTATGGTCGACAATCAATATATAGATGAAGTTTTACGAAATACAGTCAGGTTCCAAACAAAAGCTTCTAAAAATGTCAATACCACTTTTGAAATTCAGAAGGCATTAAAGGAAATAATTGGGAAACTAACACGACGAGGCAAAAAGTTATATGGATATCAACTAAATTGATAATCGAAATAATTGACAGGTATTTTTACATAATCTTGAACTTACTTATTCTTCATGTTTCACTGACGTCTTACCCGATAAGTCAGTCTTATCAGGAAATCTAACTTCTGAAACCTATTGCAAAAAGCAGCGGTGCCATAAAAGAAACCTTTCAGCAAATCTTATCAGAACGATGTCAGTGAACTACGAGGGGCGTTTTTAAAGTAAGAACCAATTGCGCATCCTGTAGCGTGACCGTTCAATCTCGGACACTCTTGGCCAGCCTCTCACTACGCCGCTATAAAAAACTCATGGTCCATCAGTTTGGTTGGAAAAATGAACGTTAAAAAAGGGCCAAGAGAATTGTTTCTACTTTCAAATATTTCTTATAAACGCAAAAACTTTGATCTCATTGGAGATACGAGAAAATAATCGTTAAGGAATTTCAAGACATGGAAAAATCACCACGCAACACCTCTACACAGTTTACTAAGGCCCGTATCGTCAGTCGTCCCTACAATTGTAGGGCGCCTTTATGGCCTCCTTGATTGTCATAGTTTTCTACTTCTCCGTGTCAGCGCTCTATTTTGAGGTTATGTCACAAACATCTATTTGCATCAAATTGTGCTTGCTTTTGAGTTATATCATGTTTTATCAGCCTGAAATTTCCTACAATTTAAAAAGAAAACATATCTTCACAATAGGAGAGCGCTGACGCTGACACGGGACAAGTGTAATCTAGAAATGTTTGAAGGAGAGAAAGGACTATGACAATCAAGGATGCCATAAACGCGCCCTACAATTGTAGGGACGACTGACGATACGGGCCTAAGTACTATCATTTACGGTATGTATTTTGAACTGTTACTTTAGCTCATTACACGGCTAGTTTTTAATCTACCACTTTCAAAAAACGATTTTTTATAGTTTCACATCAATTTTATATAAAAAATGATCATTTCTAATGATGTCTTCAATTTTTTCCAAAAAAAAAAATAGTGTCGGTCTTTATGCGCTAATGTTTCTTACCAAAACTCATGCTCGCTTATCGCTGTCCTGGGCTATGCTGGTTATGCGGGGTGCCATCTAAAAATCTTAGCATGTTAAAGGACCTTTCATACTATTGTAGTAACACAATGTATAGGGATATAAAAATGAAAAGAAAAAACACAGGTGTCACCTGGAAGACACATAAAAAAAATATCGTCAAAGTCATTGTACTGAAGAATGTCACAGTTGTTACGGAAACGTTTACAATAAAGACTTTTTTCAACACATGTGGTTTCGATTGGCGAAAGAAATTTGGGGGATTATCATAAGTAATATCATAAGGGCATCTAAATTTTTCCGAAAAAAATCGAAAAAACATATTGTTAAGTAATATTTTAACAAGAAGCATGAGTGCTGGCAACAAAAATCCGAGTCGAAGACGCCAGGAAAAAATTAGATGCCCGAATGGTATTTGAGAAGATTATTTCATGAGTCATATCAGACACATAGCTGACAAAATGTATTGGCAATAAAATCGGAAAAATTGTTTATCGTCGTTTTCTGGTGTTTTAGGCGACCATAATTACTTGTTATCAATCAATCATATTGCAATTTTTGGTGACAAGTTTTGCCGCGGGTAAACTCGAAAAAACTGCAGACAGGTGCTGTCATACAATTTTTCCATCTAGAAACCATTTGTTATTCAAAATTGCGCGTTTGTGTTTGGTAGAAATTAAGACGAGGGAAATAGTCGACATGAAAACCACAGGATAAAAGTTTCAGATGCTACAATAACCAAAAACTGGTCTTGACTTGTAAATGTTTATGGTGACTGTGTTAAAAATGAAAAAAATGATCATATTTTAAATTGTAATACTATTTACATTCATAAATAAAATTTCTCCCACTCGAATACAAAACGGTTCTTACTTTAAAAATTGACACTCGTAGAAACCGTTACTTCAATGCCACCTTTTTTTTCAGGTAAATAACTGTGGCATGCTGGTGGATTATAGATTTTCGATTTTCCATATGAGGCCAGAATTGTGGAACGACTTGATTTTTCTTCACCTGATACAATTACTCTGAGCAGTGACGGCCGAGGTTTTCTAGGGGTTTCCCTCGCCCAAGTGCGAATGCAGTCACCAAAAACCATATTCCCCTAATAAATAGTAGGGAGGATGAAAATCATAGTTCTCCTATTAATGATCATGTAATTTGAGCTCAAATAGATATTAAATATATTTATATAGTAAAACTTTGTTTTTTTTTTCATAAAAGAAATAGGCATGGAATATTTTATTCTCGTAAAGCCCTGTTCGTTCAGGTGTCGTCACCTGTCAGTGCCAGTGTCCAGGGTCTTGCCACACAAATTCCGCTCATTCTGCTACGCTATATAGACTAAATTCTCATGACCGGATCCCAAACACAGCCACCGACAGGTCACCGACCACCAGCGTCGCCAACCCCATCTGAGAGAATAACTGTATATGAGCTTGGAAAAAACTGCAGTTAACTGTAGAATATTATTACAAAAACTGTGGTTGAGTTCACATTCTCGACTTACTCATTTTTTCAATTTTAGGACATTATACCACTAAAAACTGAAATGCTTTAAGCGTGGTTTAAATAACCTCTATCGTACGTATTTTGGGTTGCCAAAGCCGAATCTAAAGTTATTTCATATGTATCTAATCCCGTTGAACATGTAGATCTATTTTGCGAAAAATTGCAAAACTAAGTTTTTGCAACTTTTGGGTGCTAAAAATCCATTTATCTTATCGATGGCTATCGAAGCTTTGTATAACAAGGTAATTTGGGTGACTTACAAGTCGTGACCAACAATGAAACATTATACACACGACCGCATTATAAGAGGGGTCTTCTATGTAACATGTTTTCCTTGAGGCTTCATTAAAAAGGTACGGGGTGTTGAAGTTTAAAAATAAAAAAACATTTTTTAATACCTTCAAAACCGTTAACTGGAATGAACTAAAATTTGGTATGTGGATTTACCTAAGTATTGTCCACATTCAAAAGTCCTTACTTAAAATTAAGCGCACCAGTGGCGGAGATACAGGGGATTAGTAGCATTATTTTTCAAAATAAAAACAGTACCCCACTGTTTTTTTTCGAAACGCGCAATAACTCGAACTTTACCTTCAATTTGCTACAAGGAATTACTATTGTGTTTTTTCCTAGAGTGCATTGTTTTCGTAAAATAAAAAAAACGAATTAGATAAAGCTTTATTCCAATAAATAATGTTCAAAAATACTACCATTCTGACGGATAAAGGTGCGGCATCTTTTCCGCAAAATTTGTTGCGGATTGAATTTGATGAAACGCATTATCTATTCGTTCTTGTAACTGATCAACAGTATTAATTTGTTCACCATACACTAGTTGTTTAAAAGCGCCCCACAAAAAGAAATGCAGTGGGTTCAAACCAGGAGACCTCGCAGGCCAATGTACGGGTCCGTTTCTGCAAGTCTAAAATGATTATCTAACCATGTGGTTATGTCACGACGAACATGCGGGATGCACCGTCCTGCTGATACCACATTTGTACTCTCGTTGCTGACGGAACATCATCTAACACATTTTCTATTTAATTCTCTAGAAAAGCTAAGTATGAGTTTGCATTTAAACGTTATGGCAATACGTGCGTAAACAGTTGGCTATTGAAAATGTCGCACTAGATATTTCTAGAAAACCTGTGTTGAATCGAGTGGATTCTTACAGAACGGAGATATGTTTATTATGAGAATTAAAGGTTCCACTCCTCGTAAAAAGCGATTCATCTGACCACAAAACCAAATCAATAAAATCTGCATTATGATTATGTATTTGCAGTAACTACTCACAGAAATTTCGCCGTTGCGCTTCGTCGCCGGGTTGCAGACATTGTACATTTTGACGATGTAAAAGTTTCCAGATTTAAAATTCTCCACGCAAGACTTTGGAAACATGGTAACTGGGCTGCAGTCGGCCTAGTACTTGTACTAGCATCATCCAACGCCAGCTTAATCACGTTGTACCTCTTGAACAGTATGCCGGGCAGCGTGGCCTCTAACCCCGGAAGTTTGGCAATTCCATATTGAAGAAGTCTTATAAATGAACGCGTAAAAACCTTTGGGGTAGGTTGGCGTCTGTTAGGAAATCTACGTTGATACTGCCAAGAAGCCTCTAAAGCACTTCCATGATAGAACCCGTATTCAAAAATAATATCTGCGTACTCATTATTGCTAAATTCCATTTCACAACACTCAAAAATGGAAAAAAGAGACTTCGACTTGATTTTTATAAAAAAAAAAAATGGTAGTAGTAACGATAACAACCGTGTAACACATAACTTTGACAAACTATCTTCCAAGAAACGTAAGATGGCATCAAGGCCCCCTATTTCATTTTGAAGCTAATTGTAATTCAGCTCTTCATGAATGATCTAATTTGTTTTATTTTTATTTTTACGAAAACAGTGTACTCTGGAAAAAACAACAGTAATTATTTGTAATAAATTGAAGGTAAAAACAGTGGCGCACTATTTTTATTTAGAAACATAATTTTACTAATCCCCTATATCTCCGCCACTGGTGGACGTTAATGTTAAGTAAAGACTTTTTAATGTGGACAATACTTTCAGTTGACGTTTTTTAAGATATATGAAAAAAATGTTTTTTCTTTTTAAACTTGAACACCCCATATCTTTTTAAACCCCGAGGAAAAAATCTTACATAGAACATAGAAGACCTCCTGAAAATACGATCCTGTGTATGATGTTTCATTTTTGGTCCCGACATAGTGAAAAATTCTACAGTTTCCTCGGATCCGATTTGGGATGAAAAATTGGTAGTGAATCCTAGAACTGATTTGACATCGAATTCAGAATACATAAGCAACTGATTTACCTAGAAAACAAGCTGCCAGAGCTGGAGGTTTTTTATTAGTCGTTTTTAGCGACACAAAAAAGCGGATTATAAGAATGGTCAGACGTCAGTGATATTATATCCTGATATCCACTGAATCAAACCAGTGTCTTGATGCCTTACTGCAACCAACATAACAAAGCGTATGTTTTGTAAACGCTAGAGCTAGTGACAGTGGCGGACCGCAACCAACATTACAGAGCGTAACCAACATCACAGAAGGCAACCAGCATTACAGAGAGTATGTTTTGTAAATGCTAGTGCTAGTGACAGTGGCGGACCGCCACCAACATTGCAGAGCGCAACCGGCATTACAGATAATGTGTTTTGTAAATGCTAGAGCTAGTCACAGTGGCGGACTGCAACCAACATTACAGAGCGCAACCAGCATTACAGAGTATGTTTTGTAAATGCTAGAGCTGGTGACAGTGGCGGACCGCAACCAACATTACAGAGCGCAACCAACATCACAGAAGGCAACCAGCATTACAGAGATTATGTTTTGTAAATGCTAGAGCTAGTGACAGTGGCGGACCGCCACCAACATTGCAGAGCGCAACCGGCATTACAGATAATGTGTTTTGTAAATGCTAGAGCTAGTCACAGTGGCGGACTGCAACCAATATTACAGAGCATGTTTTGTAAATGCTAGAGCTATATTCTAGGCGCTGAAGAAAGAAACTAAACCCAAACAAATACACGCATATTGCTCGTGAGTGAGTGTTTAGGCGCAGGAGACATTACAGGACCGCATCAAGATATTATGGGTAGTCATCAAAAATTTCATACAAGATAATTATTATCTTTTACAGTAAATTTCAGTTAGAGATTCACAAATGAGTTAACTACACTTTTTAGTTATTAGTAAGTAAGCTGCGCGCACTCATTCAGAAGAGGAACTTGAATCTTCTGAATCGTTTAAATGAATTATTAGAGGTTCAATTTGGGTATCGATGACATTGTCCAAATCCCACATTTTGACCTCAACCTTCTCCCGAACGTGGCGGATACAGTTTTTCCATTCCTCTGCCGTAACTCTATTGACTGCGATGTGAAAGAGATTTTTAACATCAGAAAATTTATAAGTATTATTATTCGACGCCACGTATTGCTTTATGTTGGCCCAAATCAGCTCAATAGGGTTCAGCTCACAATGGTAGGGTGGCAGTCTCAAGACAGTTTTATTTTGTTTTTTGGCCATTTCGTCGATCATTTTAAAATCGTATTTGTATTTATGTCTATTGACTATACTTATCAATTCACCCTTGACAATTGTTTCATCAAAATCGATCTGTTTTGAGGCCAGCCATTGTTGTATGTTTGCTTTTTTAGTTGCGATTGTGGGAATTTTTTCTATTTTTCTAGAATGGTACGGGGCATTATCCAGTACAATAACAGCGTTATTCTCCAGCTTTAGTAACATTTTGGAGAACCAATTTTCAAAGGAATTGCCGTCCATCTCCTCATGATAGTCCCCTGTCTTTTTTTATTCAAAGGCCCACAGTGCTTCGGAACAAAGCCGTCTTCACTACCTACGTGACAAATGATCAGCCGTTTGCCTTTTCCTGGAAATAAATTATTCCTTACACTATGGATTGATTAAATTTGAAGGAATGAGGCAATTGAGTTCATTTAGCTGAATTTAAGAGTCACGGAATGCTGATCAAAAACTGAAAAACGTAGAAAATTGAAGTTTGCAACTTCTCAAAACCCATTCAAAGCAAATTGACTGCACCCAAAAATGATAATAAATTTCAAAATAACGCTTAAAAGAGGGTCGAAGTTTTTTTCCTAATGACTACACTGCGAATGCACCATTTTTGGAGAATATCACACATTATCTGCTATCACAGCATATTATTTGCCCGAATTTATCAAAATTAAATTGCCGGATAGATGAAGGAGCTTACCTGCAGAATTTTTCAATCCAGCCGAAAGACCGTCTAGAAAAGCCTGCCTTGATGATGTTACTGATTTGTCGACCCAAACTTTCGCTTGAGTATGTCCAGCATTCACCCACGTTTCGTCCAAATAGTAAATTTTTCTTTTTTCATCGCGAAACTTCCGAATCTTCCTAAGGTATTCCCTTCTCCACACAACAATTTCTTCTTTCTCTATTAACATACTGTTTCTTCCCCGTTTCAAGAATCGAAAATTAAGTTCCTTCAAAAGTTTTCGGAATGTGGTTCTTTTAAATGATGGAAGATCCTCATCAGCATTAACTAATCTTAATAT